TAGAAATAATTATTTTTGTATATGATTGATATTGCAGTAGTAGTTTTACAAAACCATTATGGTATAATTAATGAGTTAAATATTGACTTATCAATATATCAATCAATATATTAACTTAAAAGTACTATTTACCACATAATATGTTATTAATGTAAGTTTAATTTAAATAAAAATGTCAATATTTGACGAGTTAATTATTTATATAAATAGAACAATTAATTTTTAAGTTGTAAAAATTGTGGGCAAATGTTAAACAACTTTTACATTATAATGAAATATAATGTTAGCAAACATAATAATACATACATAAATAATAACACACGGTAATAATTTATTTTATTATTTATATTTTACTCGTATAGAATTTGATAACTTATAAAATGCTAATTATTCTCAAACTTTTTAATTAAATAACATAAAATTAAGTTTTACTGTAATTAATATGAAAGTTTATAAAATATTTTTTTGCAAATATAAATCAATAAAAATATTTAACTATAAATTTTATAAAAATGCTGCGGTATTAATGAAAATTGCAGTTTAGGTTAACCATACTAAAAACGTGATCACATTTAAACTTGAATTTTAATTACATGATTATTTTATAGCTATTTAATATTAGTAAAATTGTAAAATTTAATTTTAATTCATTAAATTTAATTCAATATAGTTAAAAACATGGTAAACAACTAGTATTACGGTGTAGGCGCTACCAAAGCACTGGCGCACAATGTCTTACATACGGTAGCGGCGGCCTCGCAGGCGGGTATACAGGCCGGTAGTGCAGCACCACTGGTGGCCACAGTGCACGCGCCAATACATGTGGCCAATACGCCCATACAGGCGGCTATGCAGGCGCCGAATGCAATTGGACCGCATTGTGTTGGACTCGTTAAAATAGCCACGATGATTAATATAGATTTTAGCATTATTGTGTTATTTATGCTAGATAATATAAACAATATTTGATAAATAACAATTATAATTACAAATATTTTATCATTAATTATAATAAATTAAACATTTGAAACATACCCAGAACTAGGATATATATGGTTTATGGCAAATAGATTTTGGATGCTTAATTGTAATAATACCATTTAATATACATCAAAAACAACATTATCTTATTTATATAATATTGTAATTTCATTGTTTTTTATAAAACTTAATGATTACATAACGCACACCATTAGAATTGCACTGTAGAGACCGGAAATTTAGGTCTAAACAAATTTATGTTTAATTCAAAATTATTAGAAATATTTGTTAAATGTTTTGGTTTAACTTTTGATATCCGTTCAATATTTCATTTGTTATTAAAGTAATGTGTAATTGTTTTGATATAATTTGTACTTTAATCATAAGTTTTATGTATTAGGAATGTGATGTAAAATAATGTCTAAAATCTAAAAAAATGTTTATAAATGTATTTACTTCTTAATGGGTATATAAGCCATTGATTATCATGTAATAATTGTCTATCATTTTGTCTATCATTCTGATATAATATCACACATTATTACAACATTTACAGTAAACTTTGTTAAATTGCATTCATGTAAGTTTACCAAATTAACATGTTATTATTTTGTAATTATTTAATTTTTATTCTTGATTAAAAAAATTTAAGCGATATCTTATTTATAATAGTTATTATTTTTCATTTATAAAACACTTTGATATATTACGTATTTTTTAAACTTATTTATTTAATCAAATGTTGTATTTATTAATTAGCCAATCATGAAGACTACAGGAATAAAATTCACCCTAATTATCATATTGGTCATTCTGTCTGGCCAAGCTTATGGTGGCCCGTTTGCATTCGTGGGCTGTGTGGCCGCCTGTACGGCTGTATTGGGCACATGTATTGCTGGTTGTGGGACCGTCACAGCCGGTGTGGGACTCCCGGTGTGCATACCTGCCTGCGAGGCCGCAGCCGTTGCTTGTAAGGTGGCGTGTGTTGGCACCGGACTGGCGCCCGTGCCTTAATGTGCCATCATTGTAGTTGCAGCGAACTGCCAGCCTTAAAAGTTTAAGTAACCCAGATAATTATTGTAAAATTTGAATATTATTTGTTGTTTTTGCCTAATTTACTGTAATTGTTTTGTTTTGTTTTTTTGTAAAACATATTACATTATATTTTATTAATTACTAACATTATAATTAATAATTAAATTCTAATTGTTTATGACAAAATAATAAAACTCAACCTGGAATTTTTTTGTATTGTACCAGATTATTTTTGTTTCCGTTTGCTTTTCGTCTAATTGTGTTGACTTTCATTTTCCAAATATTACAAAAAATAATCATCATAAATTATAAAATTATTAATTATGCTTATTATAATTATTTACTAAATAAGAAATTATATTGTTTCAATTAAGTTCTACAAATATGTAATTTAAGATTTATTATGGATAATAAAATTAAGTAATTAAAATTATCTTATATACAGTTTAATAATCGTCAATAATTTGCACTTTTTAAATTAAAAAATTATTTTACCAATGACAATGTTAAAACTTAATAAAGCTTTTTAATAAATAGTTAATTGTTTATTTACAAATACTGTAATTTTAAGTGACATATTTTTGATAAATTCTCAATTAGCAGACCAAGGTCAATAGATAAAAAAATATTTAAACTTTAATGATGTAATAAATTGCCATTTAAGCACACTACTCTGTTTAATGTTTAAAAATGTGACCAAATTTAATCTCATTGTAAATACTGTATTTAAATGATAAACACACGACAAAACATGATAAAATAATTTTTTAAATAATATAATATAAGTTTGTTTTAACTATATTTTTCCGTAAAGTTAACTAGTTTTAGCACAATTTTTATTTAAAATAATTTATAGTAAATATTTTTGCTAAAAGTTTTACTATACGTTAAATATTTGTGAATTTATTAAACTTGATATTAATTTAAGTGCAAATTGCAATGTTTTTAGCGATTGTGTTAATACTATCGCCGATAGTGTTAACAATAGGCCTATTGTGGCAAAAGTGGACGTTTTGGAGACGACAGGGAATACCGACCGACTGGTCGGCCAGAAGTGGTCAACCCTTTCACATCGCGGACAACGAGTGCCACAGAAGACACGGGAAAATTGTCGGGTATTTGATAATTATTTGTTAGCAATTTCTAATTATTAAAATATGTCAAAATTAATATTTAAATTATCTAAACAAGTTACTACGAGGGTTTGAGACCTTGTTTATCCATCACTGATCCCAATCTCATACGCAAAGTGTTGGTAACAGAATTTCAAAAGTTTGCTGAACATAGGGTAAGTCATTTATTAATTAAATACTATAAAACATACTAGTTTATTATTACATTAGTTTATAATTATTAGCTAAATTGATAGAACTTTTATGAAAAACACATTATGTAAACAATATTTTTAAAGTGTTTCCATTTGTTTAATACAAAAAATCAATATCTAAGTTAATCTTTCAAATAAATAACATTATCTAAAATAAATTGCAACTTACCTAGGTGCTGGCATCCAAAACCGAGCCAATCAGTAACGGCCTATTTTTCTGTCGATACCGGCAATGGAAACGTATCCGAGCGCTACACTCGACCGCATTCACCACCGGTCGCCTCAAAGCTATGCTACCGATAATGTCGGACACGTTTGACCACTTGTGCGCACTATTGGACCCGAAAGCCCAAGACAGCCAAGTGGTAGACCTGCGAGACTTATACGACTCGTACACGTTTGACGTGATTACTAGAGCTGTGGCCGGTGCCTACACAAACGCCCTGGATAATCCCGGTGATAACGCACTGTTTACCTCGGTGAAAAGTATATTTCAAACTGACCAAGGTCTCACCGATTGGCTGGTGTTTTATGTGCCTGTTTTGCGCCGATTTGTCGACATTCCGTGGTTTGATCGCCAAAAGTTGAAAATAATTGGCGATACTGTGAGTCACGTGATTAGGGATAGGGTGGCCAGAGATGTACAGGTGCCCGACCTGTTACAGCACTCGGTTAATGCTAGCGTATGGGCCGATAGGTATCCCAACCCTCCCGTCAACGCTAATAAGTCATTTAATAGTATGTATAAAATTGTTATATTTTATTTTGCTGATTAATAATTTATAACTTTAATTAATTAGAATTGACCGAGATAGAAGTGCTGGGTCAAACAATGAACATGCTGGCCGGCGGGTATGAGACCACTGCGTCCCAGTTGTGTTACATAACCCGAATACTGGCCCTCAAACCCTTGTATCAAACAAAACTGGTTCACGAGATTCATAACACACTGTATACTCCGGACACCAATAAGTTATCTATGGATTACGAAAAGTTGCAAAAAATGCCATTTTTGGACGCATTTATCAAAGAAGTGATGCGAGTTAACTGTTCTGTGAACCGGTTAGTAGTGTCGCCACATGTCACGTATGCAAGTATTAAATATTTAACATATTCTGGTATTTTTATACTTAACACAGAATCGACAGAATCGCTGTAAACGACACGTATTTAGAGGGCATTTATTTACCAAAAGATACGCCTATTATAATGCCTATATGGGCGCTGCATTTAGACCCTGATCACTTTCCCGAGCCCATGGAGTTTAGACCGGAGCGCTTTTTACCGGAAAATCTAGATAATATCAAACCGTATACATACCTACCCTTCGCCACCGGCCCTCGCAATTGCATTGGTAGTCGTTTTGCTGTATTAGAGCTCAAGTATACGTTAGTTAAGCTGTTGTGTAGATATGAGTTTGTGGTTTGCGATGAGACCAAGGTTAGTTTAGTTATATAATTAATTAATTATTTATTTAGATAAATAAAATTGTTTCAACCTATTAATATAGGAGACGGAATATTTTAATCCGCTAATCCAATTGGCCAGCGTTAAACGTATGATGGTTAGAATTATGCACCGGAGATAGATTATTAAATAATTAAAAGATTTCTTTTTTAAATATAGCATAAATAATGGTTAATATATTTATTTGTACTAGATCCAGTCTGCTTATTATTTTTATTTAATTGCAATAATTATAATTCTCCAAATAAATTTTTAACCACTATTCTGATAGGAATAATGTGGTTTATAAGATCGTTCGGCTACCCCCTCCCCCTCTCCCCCCACCCTATGGGATTTAACATGGGATTACAGCTTAAACATATGGCTATAAATTAACATGGGAAAGCTCTCATAGGATTAA